ATAAAATAATTATATTAATTATTCCTTAATATGTCTCCTTAAGATACACATTGAAAAAAAATTATAATTTAATACAAACAGTGAAACCTAAAACCCAGACAAAAATATATTATTATTATTACTTTGCTAGGCCGAACCTTTTCCAGAGCTAATAATTAACTAGATTCGTTTCGAACAAAGCAATCCACAACTAGGAGCCATCAATTTATATGGCGGCTAAGAATTCAAAAGAATGGAATGGAAGCATAAGTTCATACGGACCAAATCAACACAAAATTGAAGCACGTTATGTATGAGTGTAACAAGAAAATGAGAATGGGATGATGGGAATTTACAGTATTTGTCCTGGAATTTGTGAAATTCAAATGGCAACACACAGGGTCTGCATCTTTAAGTTTCCTGATTCTTCAACACAGCGAACAAAATATATGTCGCGATGAGCTTACACAGCATCTTGGAGTGTTGGCACTTGGCACCCATACTTCAGCCAAAATTTGCTACTACCTGTCAGCTATATTTTGCTATTACCTGCCTGGCAGTGTCCAGGCCAATGTTAGTCAATACTCAGAGCGGTAATATAAGTGGCTAAAAGAGCAAAAGTGCCATAATAATAGAGGCAGTGTGGGCAGTAAATTGCATCCAAAGCAGACCTGATAATTGAGCCCCATTTGCACGCAGGCTTGAAAGGTACATCATACTCCTGTTCACAAGGGGTAGCATTGCTCCATCTTTCCGTGCTCCTAACATTTTTTGGCTGCAACTTTCCACACAAGACAAGTACACAATATCATGAGACAATCCTAAAATCAAAGACACATTTCTCAGCATAACAGACAAGAATCATTTATTCATAAAATAATCCAAGCACAACGCATTAACATTCACAATTCAGCATGTTTCTCAAAACCTGAGACACCTATGAAACCACTGATAACATCCATCAATCTCCCCCGAAAATGGCAGCACAGCACACCAGCATCAGGTGATGGCTAGGCCTAGGCGAGATGCTTATTTCAACAATGGAAATATGGTTCTCATTCACATAATTTCCAGCCATCTAACTTGGACTTAAGCAACCATACTCAATTTCATATTAAATTAACTCAACAAAATTCTAGTACTAGGTCATAAACTCTTTCAGGATCAGGAAACACAAACTGAAATCAAAATTCCAAATCCAAATGAACGTATGAATGTAGCGACATGTCTACAAGTATAATTAAATCACCAAATGCAGTTGAATATCATAATAATGACAATGACGCAATTCAGGGATCACAATCGAAACTTTAACCACCACTAGTAATCTAGTATGGACCAGAAGCAAACTCCAGACCTAATAGAATCTTATTTCCGACCATTTTCAATAACCCATATTATATTTAATCAACAAAGAAGCCCTAATAAGCTAATCTCGAAAACTTATTATATCCTAAGATAGCAATTGCGTATAGTTTTCTAACATCCCTATGCATATGGGGCCGCATTGCAACGATTTCAAAATAGTCAGTCCACAGTCAACGTGGGCAATTAAATAATACTATAATTCCACTTCATCCACAAAATGCGCCGAATTTTCTGGAACGTGCCGACGTGGCCAATCATGCAACGATTAAAAAGACCATACTACCCTCAACATTAACAGTACAGTCTGTGGAAGTTAGTTAAGGCAGTTTGTAACTTCACCTGGTGTAAGGTGGCGGGCAAAATATGATAACGTAGTTCGCGTTCGCACACGTGTAAGTGCTGGTCTTGTCGTCGTAAGCGTAGCTGTACGCGCGGGGGCAAGCGTGCTTGAAGAAGAGGGAATAGGCGGAGGGGCGACAGACGTCCGGCGTACCGTACGCCCCGGTGCAGCAATACTGCGGGTCCCCGAAGACGTCGCACGCGCTTCTACACCCCACGCCGCCCCCTCCACCATTCCCACGCGCAGCTTTTAAGTCGGCGGGACACGCCGCGTTCAGCTCCACCAAGCACCCCGTGGCGCCGCATCCCGCGCCTTTGCCGCCCTTGGGGAAGACCAGCACAGGCAGATTGTACCCATCCACGAGACTTACATCGTAGAAATCCAAACCTCTGTCGCCGTTTAGAGTGAACTCTGCCAGCGTGGCGGGTGGTTTCGCGCCACTTCCAGAACATTCCACTTTCTCGGACCCGCAATCGCCACTCAAGCAGGAAAATTTACCCGATGAATCTGTGGAGCAGAGGGACCGGCCCCAGAGCCGACCGGACCAGGATCGGGGTATGGGTACAGTTCTTGATTTGCCGGGTTCTAGAGCGAACCCCGTGGTGGGCGGCTGTGGGCTGTTAGCACCCGAAAGAAACCCCGGCCATATTGTGCTCCGGCACCGGTTTACGATCTTGAAAGAAGCTGGGTGAACCTCTGCATACAAAAGCAAGAAACAAGAAATGGGTCAGTGGCAAAATTGAGAAATAAGAAGAAAAATCAAAACTTTTCCGGTCACCTGAGAGCAGAGTGAGGGAAAGAAGAGTGATAGGAATAGTACAGAAGAGAAGACGATTCATTTTGTTAGGTAAAGATCAAAGAAGAGATAAAGGTGAGAAATTTCAAGGGGAGAGCGGGGGTTTTGAGATGGAGAACTCGCAAAGAACTTTACTTTCCTTGTGATGGGAGAAGTATGTTTGTTACTGTGTGCGAGTACAATTGTCCTTTTCTGCTTTTGTAATTTAGATTATCTCGTTAGATTCTACTTCTTGCTAGATTTTTCTACGTTTTGGTATTTTTTATTATAAATATATATAATA